ATTCTAGAGATCGACCGGTATATTGGACCGATTGGCTATCGGCCCAAACTTCTTCCCATCCGGTTGATTTGCTACCATGGCATGTTATACTCCATTTTAAAGAAAATTTACCTAATTTGTTTTACTCAAAAAAAAAAAAATCCCAAAACAACAAATATTTGGTTACCCAATAATATGTTATGTTTAAAATTGTATAGCAATTTGATTTTCTTTTTTTTTTTTTCAGCCCTAAAAGTTTGTTGATAAATTATATCAAAATTAGATTAAAATACATTTCCCAAAAAAAGATAATAAGCCATCAAAATGCGCATTACTTTAGAGCAGAAGTCCCTCCTCAAATGTATGGATCACTTTCCTCTTTGCAGCAAGACCAAGTACAAATAGTTCAAACTTCATCTAAAAGAATAACATTGACTTGAGATTAAAGTAATTCAAGTATAAGAAGTTCACCGCAGGGGAACTCACATCAGACTTCAAAAGGTTCAACGTAGGATCATGTTAAGACGGTCAATAATGGTGTCTGCGGTTTTGGATGTATCAATCTATGATCTGAAAAGTTTAATCAAGAAGTTTTCACAAAGTTTCTCTGGTTTGTGAGGGACAGAGGTCATTGTTCTGGACAGCTGCACACTTTGCAATTAAGAGCATGAAAGCAACTATAGCTAACGAGGAAATGTGGCCAGAATACATGATCCAGTCTTATTTATATCTAGTAGTGGCATTAGCAGCAGCAGCAGTAGTAGTAGTTAGAGGTAGTAGCAGCAGCCAACGTAGTAGCAGCAACAGCAGTAACAGTAGTAGTAGTAATGGTAAATGCAGTACCAATAGTAGTAGTAGTAGCAGCAGCAGCAGCAGCAGCAGTACCAATAGTAGTAGTAGTAGCAGCAGCAGCAGCAGCAGTAGCAGTGGTAGTAGTGGTAGCAACAGCAGTTATTGGGTAGTAGTAGGTGGCCATAGTAGTGGTAATGATAGCAGCAGCAGCAGCAGCAGCAGTAGTTGAAGTAGTAGTGGCAGATGCAGCAGCAGCAGTAGTAGTAGTTGTAGTAGTGGAAGAAGCAACAGCAGCAGTAGTGGCTGTAGCAGCAGTAGAAGTAGCAGTAGTAGCAGTAGCAGTATCAGTAGCAGTAGTAGTAGCAGCAGGAGCAGTTGTAGTAGTAGCAGCAGCAGCAGTTGTAGCAGTTGTAGCAGTAGTAGTATTAGTAGTAGTAGTAGTAGTGGTAGTAGCAGTTGTAGCAGTAGTAGTAGTAGTAGTAGTAGTAGTAGTAGTGGCAGCAGCAGGAGCAGTTGTAGCAGTAGCAGCCGCAGTAATAGAGCTCGAACCACTGTTACTTGTAAAAGTTGTGGTTATAGCCCAATGCCCCAGCACAAATCCTTAACCTCTAGATGAAAGTGACATTCTCAGACATGTGACACCTCGGAGCACCCATCGTGACGCCTCTCCTGTGCATGTTGTGTCACCCATCAGTCACCCATGGGTGCACCCGCTCACCTCATGTCACCCACCAGACACAGCTCAGCTCCATTATCCTCAATGTCTGGACACATATCAGCCTGAAGTCAGTTTGATGGAAAACAACTGTCCAAGAGCCACCGTGACCTTGGAGAGTCCATTTAGTTCAGTCTTTGCTTAAACGATTACGACTAGAATTATACTAAAGATATTAATCCTGCATATAGAGCTAGAGAGCTATGAAGAGGGCGATGGTTATGGCTTCCAGAAGTACAATTGTCCACTCAAAATCCTCGTAGGGAGTTTAAAAAATAATACCGTACTTTCTGGACTCTTAGGCACACCTACATATAAGCCAAAACAGGAATATCGTAAAATAAAGTACATTTTATTCACAGAGAGGTAATTCTTTATTTTATCTATTTGTTTTACTTTGAACTTGCACAATACTTATTTTCACATATATCAATATAATAGACGGATAAACTTGTACCTGGTTCGAAAAGGGGTTGGATGAAGCTATCTGAAGCTATCTAGTCACCAAAACGTTCACTGTTGACTCCCATTCATTTAAATAGGCAACAGAGTGCATGACAGTTTGAGGTTAACGGCTTGAAAGGGTTCGGGGGCCGCACACAGACATGAATCGGGCCGCATTGGGGCCCCCAGCCCGCAGTTTACTCAGGTCAGATCTAGGCCATAAAACAAATTGACAATGGTGTGACGAGCCACATTTGGCTTGTGAGCCTTGTGTTTGACCCCTGTGTCTGTGTTAGAAGGGGTAAAGCTACAAAAGGTTTCAGCCATAAATTTCCTGATATTAGTGAGACTGATGAGAAACACTGTTGTAACATGGTTAAAAGAAACAAAAAGTAGATGTTGCATAATATGTCTCCTTTAATGGCCTTGAGCCTCTACCTGTCTGAGCTTTTTGTAAGCTCTCCGGCTGCCCGATTCATCGCAAGCAATTTTCATGGTTGCAGTTAGCAAATCAAAAAAACAGCATTCATTTAGATAGTAAACAAAATAGGGACAACAGATAAGTAGAAAATACTTCAATTTGGCAACATCCTCTTGATGTGTGTATTATATCTGTCAACTAAAAGAGCGCATCTTTCTTCAACTTCTGTACTTTCTACATTTCTATGTTAAGCAAGTTAGAGTTTTTTTATTTTCATGATTATGAAAATTTTTGATTCACACTGAAGGCCTCAAAACTATGAATTAACTCGTACTCGGAATTATACGTACTACAAAAAAAAAGTATGAAACAATTGAAAATATGTCTTATTGACCAGATGCATCAACGTCATCCAGTCACGTGATTGTGAATGAGCTTACGGCGGAAGTATTGGAAACTAGCATTGCTGCGAGAGATAAAACGGACTACAACTCTTAAAAACGGAGCTTCCCCTCCTAAATCGAGAAGTACCTGCTTCAAGCAATGTTCGATTACGTTATACTGTAGGTGGAAGTAGGACATCAGGTCAGGGCTCACAAAGAGTGGTATTTGGAGAAGTTAAGGATCGCCTAACTGGATGTTGACCCGTACCTTCTACCCCCTGTCAATTTTATCGATTAAATAAAATGTCTATTTTTGCCCAAATTCACCCTGCATGATCTTTATCATTATCATTAACAATGCATCCCCTCACACTGGAGCAGATTTATATGTACATTTTGCTGGTAGCATTAGCAATAGTCCACTTTTCTGTGGCTTTTCTGTCTACAGCCAAACATGATACGTACTGACGGAGAGGAAAATAGTGAAACACGCAATTGACTTAAAAGATAAAAATGTCAATGTTTCGAGTGCACATACAGGACAGTAGTAAGAGACACGTTTGACGTGTGTCATTGTCCTCCAAATTAATGGAAATAAAATAAATACAAACTTGTGATTGCTTTATCTTGTAAAAAGTATTCACTGCATATTAGGGAGTACTTGGATGGGTCCCAGTCCTTTTGGTTGATTGCCGCTGGCCATCGTCATCTTCTGTCTTCATGACGAGCAGGTATCAGATAAAAAAGCTTATGTCCTTGCCTGTTAGTATAATCAACCGCACTGCAAAATGTCACAGTTTTGGCTGTAATGCGCTGAAACAGGTTGTTTTGGTCAGGTGTCCGTAGGCTCGCAGTTAGACTTCTGCCGTCTGTCATGGAGAGTGGGCGTGGCCGGGACGTCACATGCAAGGGGTCAATATTCTCGGTTCTTCAAAGTTGCAAATTTTTGCTCTGATTACTGCTTCACACACTCTTGGCATTCTCTTGATGAGGTAGTGACCTGAAATGGTTTTCCAACAGTCTTGATGGAGTTCCCAGAGATGCTTAGCACTTGTTGGCCCTTTTGCCTTCACTCAGTGGTCCAGCTCACCCCAAAACCATCTGGATTGTGTTCAGGTCCGGTGACTGTGGAGGCCGGGTCATCTAGCCCAGCACCATGACTCTCCTTACTGGTCAAACAGCCCTTACACAGCCTGGGTGTGAATCTACAGTCAATAGTCATGAAAAGAAAGGACACTCATTGAATGAGAAAGTGTGTCCAAACTTTTGGTCTGTACTGTACATATTATACCTATTCAAAAAGTCAAAATGATTTAAACTTCTAGATAAGCCATGGGTAGAGCACACATTCCAAATAGTGTAGTACCGCCCAATTTTGAGGAGGTCCAATTTGGGATTGATACTTCTGCTAAATCTACTAATTTTAGTAGTCCGGATTATAGAGTTTGTATATATTTTTTTGATGTTTTTTTCATTTTTTGATGTTTTTTTCACAGACCAAGGTTGCCCAAAGTGCATTTCAGCCTTTTTTAAGTACCAATATTTTCCATTCACTCACAGAGTGAAGAGAGAACAGACTACAGTACATGAAAACCTCTGAAGATGAGATCAAACCCAAGACCTTCAGGCTGTGATGCACAAGCGCCAACTACTGTGCCACGTGCCGCTATGACACATCGAAGAAAGCAAAGCGCCTCTGTACGGTTTGATAAAAACTGAACTGGAAAAAAAGGACAACTTTGACATTATGTAAAAAACAAAGAAAAGTCATAAAGCAAGGAAAATTCTTTCCTTCTTCATCTAATAGTTTACACCATTGCAATTTGAAAATCAAATCCGGGAAATACTAAATGAAATGGAAAAATTTGAATATTGCTCTTAAGTCCATTAACTTCTGTAACTCTTACTCTTACTTTCTTACAATGAGAAAGTAAGACATTTTACACACAAAATTAGATGAATCAAGCTCTTTATCTGTTATAATGGAAATAACTGACTAGCTTGTCAAATAAAACATCTCTGAAAACTAGAAAAAAATGACTAATAATCAAGAACAAAGTGTGTTTGTATCTAATGTATCTGTCATGATTTTAAATCAAAACTTATTTACCTGTATGTATGCACACACTACAGCACTGTTCCATTGTTAGAGCTTGAAGAAATGTCAAACTCACAAACTTGAATCTCCTCCACCATCTTCTTTGTGGTTTAGAGTGAAACTCTGCAGAAGATGACTTTTCCACTTTCTCCTGTTTGTCAGACTTACCATGCCAGCCCATGGAGTACGGGAAAGAGACCTCGAACAGATTGTCATATTTGGTCAGGAGTCTCTTCATGATGTCGGCCAGATCTAAAATAGCAGTGCAAAGAAAAAGTTTAAACTGGGAGAAAAACTTTCAGAGCATAATTATCAGCCAGAAAATTTAGAGAGTTTAAAGCCATCTGCTCATCTATTCATTTGTAAAAACAAAACAATGGCTCCAACTGGTTACATTTTGTTGCAATTGATTTGAGCTTCTCCTCTTCTGTCTTCATGGCGGGCCGGGCCTTGTGTTTGAATCCTGTGTTTGCGTTAGAAGAGCTAAAGCTACATGTTACTGCCTGTTCCTGAGTGTGGATGGATCCGTTGGTAGACTGTTGGTCTTTGGACCTGATGGTCGTGGGTTCGATCCCACCACGACCCATGTCATCTGCTCCCACTGATGTCTGCTGTAGTTGTGTCCCTGGGCAAGACACCCGCTGAAAGATCAAGGCCGTATCTGTGTTGAAGGAGCAGCCATCTTCCTGTGGACCCACCAACTGCAGAGGATCAGCGAGGCCCTGGTGCATTGTGAATTGGGCGGCAGCTCTGATTGTCACCCCCCTGACCCAGATATGGATAATAAAGGGATGAAAATGAAATGAAATGAAATGTCCCACATTCGCACTCACAAACACACATTCATTCACCCTGAACTATTGCACATGTCTTTAGTGGTAGGGGAAACCGGAGTACCCGGAGGAACCCTCTTGCTGAGAGGCGAGAGTACTATCCACTCAGCCACCGTGCCGCCCAAGTGATTGATCACTGTGATTGATTTGTTGATAATTAACTGTAAGCCAATCTGTTGTTTTTTTTTGTGTTGAACATGTTCAACTAACAAAACTATTGTAACTAAATGTCAATTGGTCAATATTGAGGATATTTATATATTTTTTCCCCCAGATGGCCAAGCCCTAATTCCAGTCTGAGCCAATTTAAAGCAGTCCAAGAAGGTTTCATTAAGGTGAAAATGAAAAACGAGTGTTGTAATAATTGTCAGCAGGATTACTTGATTAAGTCGTCTCAGGAAGTGGACAGTTCATTTCAGGACAAGACTCCGTGTCCACCGCTGAGGGTGATCTGGTCTTAACTCATTGAATGCCAGCCTATTTCAGAACAGGTACTCCCACAGTGCCAGCCATTTCTGATGATTTTTACTGATTTTTCAAGACCCACAGAATATTGTGTACTATGACTATCTGAAATCCGACACCAGATTCTAAAAGAATGGACTGTCTACTTTCATCAGCAAAAAGAATTTTGTTTATAGCTTTTTTCGTTCCCCTGTAATCCTCCGTCGAGTAGAGGGAAGTTTTACTGAAATCACCAGAAATCACCAGAAAGTTGAGAAAAAAGAGGCACAACATGTGCACCTACATGTTTTAAAACCATTCAGAGAGAAATGCTGCCACCTGCTGGCTCGATAAAATATGGTCTCAAGTCGTCCCCATACATATTAGATACAATAGACATCTGGGAACGTGAAAATAGCGAAAAAGGCAATTGACGGATTAATACGTCAATGGCACACGACGTTACTATTTGCTTTGACGCATTTGTGCGTCAATGGGACACAAGGACGAGGCACTTACCGAGTCTCTCCTTCTCAGTCAGATCAGTCAATCTCAATACATGTCTCCGTGGCAACAGCAATGTCTGGTAAGGCCATGTCGCCCAGTACGGTACCACTGCCAGCCAATCAGAGCTCTCCACCACAACACGCTCCTGCAGATGAAAAAAATCAATCCCCATCAAGTACATTAAGGAGACATATACTTTTTATTAGTTTTTTTTAACCATGTTACAACAATCCTTTTTCAAAATCTGTTCTGTTATTGTATGATGTCATTGTACCTCAAAGACATAATACTGTAACCCAGTTTTGGCAGTTTTTCCAAGTTAAATGACATTTGGTACAATCGCATGTCTGTGTTGGCAGTCACTGATTATCAAATTTGAGAAAGATAAGATAAGCTTTATTTATCTCACATAGGAGAAATTTACAAAAAAAAAAAAAACAATTCAACTAGAATAGGTGTTTCATGTCGAGAGAATTGTTTATTTGTCATACTTGTTTCACTTCAAGGTTTCTACTAAAGATATTATTCCTCAATTCTAAAACATGACATATAATAATATAATACAAATAATGCATAATAGTGGCGTTCATGTAGATCAGTAATTTTAGTTTTAATTTGAAATATATAGAAAGAGTACAATTTAACACTCAATGGATGCCTTGTAAAATGCAATACAAATATCCCAGGGGTCTCTAATTAAAAAGCTAAATTTATGTTTGCAAATGTACATTCCGATTTGCCAAAGGACAGCACGGTAGAAGTATAAAAATCTAAAATCTAACGACTCGGTTCAAGCGTTTAGCTCTTTAGACATTTTCTCCTGAAAGAGTTGCTCTCTTGGGGGGAAAAGTTGGGTTCCCCTTTAATATACACAGTGAAATGACTCCTTTGAAGATGAGGACAAAAACAAACAGTGATCATACATTTTTAACAAGTCCGTAAAGTACTTGTGCAGTGACTGCAGGCGGATCACAAAGAGTTGTTTAAAATGCAGCTCTTGTTTGAGGCTGGGATTGAACAAGTTTTCGAGAGCGAAGATGACACGACCTCACATTAGTCAGGGGCCTCTTGAGCACAGAGTCAAGTAAACAGGCAATTCAAGTAAATATAAGCTCATATAAGTGTATACACAGAACTTATTTAAAGACTTAAAGAATTGAATCACAGCAGTAATATCCCAATACAAGTTACAGCTTTATTATGACAACATCCATCCATCCATTTTCTTCCCCTTAATCCATTTCTAGGTCGGTGGGGGTGGCAGTCAGGGCTGCACCCAGCACACAGAGCACCAGCCCTTCGCTGATCCTCCTGCAGGGGGTGAGTCCACAGGAGCTTTGATCTTTCAGCGGGGACTTTGGGCAAAGTGGGGTTAAGTGTCTTGCCCAAGGACACAACAACAGCAGACATCAGTGGGAGTCCTGAGGTAAGTAAGTAAGTAAGTAAGCTTTATTTCAATCAATCAATCAATCAAAGTTTATTTGTAGAGCGCCTTTCATGCACAGGGCAACACAAAGCGCTTCACAGTCCACATCACAAATCATCACATAAAACAAACACCAGAATCACAATTAAAACATTAAAATCACACAAAAGATTAAAACACAATAAAAACAATAAAATCACACAAAAGAATAAAACCATTAACACTTTCAAAGTTACACAAGAAATTTAAAAAAATAAATAAATAAATGACAGCAGTGCATTACAAATGGAGATAAAATCCTTCAGTTGTATGCACAGGCAAACAGAACAGTCTTTAACCTGGATTTGAACATTGACAGAGTAGACGCCTCCCTCACATTTTCAGGGAGATTGTTCCAGATCTTAGCTGCATAGATCTGAAACGCAGCCTCCCCATGTTTGGTTCTCACTCTGGGCACCAGCAGGAGGCCAGTCCCTGTGCTCCTCAGAGTCCGGGCTGGTTCATATGACACCAACATGTCACTAATGTATTCTGGTGCAAGGCCATGGAGAGACTTGTACACAAGCAGAGCTGTTTTAAAATCTATTCTTTGAGCCACAGGAAGCCAGTGCAGAGACCTGAGGACCGGACTAATATGGTCATACTTCCTGGTTCCTGTCAGGACTCTAGCTGCTGCATTTTGGATGTACTGCAGCTGCTTACAGGTCTGTTTGGACAGACCTGTAAGCAGGCCATTGCAGTAGTCTAGCCTGCTGGAGACAAATGCGTGGACAAGAATCTGTCTGCCCTGGACACTATATTTCTGACTTTGGCAATGTTCTTCAGATGGTAAAAAGCTGTTGATGTTATTGATTTTATGTGGCTATTGAAATTTAGGTCTGAGTCCAGTATTACCCCCAAATTTCTGACCTTGTCTGAAGGAAGTAGGGAGAGAGACTGAAGTTGACAGATGACGCCCTCTCTTTGTTTCTGGGGACCAAAGACAATGATTTCGGTTTTGTCTGCATTTAGCTGGAGGAAATTATTTTGCATCCACTCACTGATCTGTTGGATACAGTGAAGGAGCAAATCCAGTGGTCCATGTTCTCCTGCAGTCAGTGAGACATAGATCTGAGTGTCGTGGGCGTAATTGTGGTAGGACACTTTGTTTCTTTGTATTAACTGACCTAACGGCAGCATGTAGAGATTAAATAGGAGAGGTCCCAGGATCGACCCCTGTGGTACTCCACAGGTCAGGGCCACATGATCTGAGACGCAGTCTCCAATCTCCACAAAGTACTTCCTATCCTCCAGGTAAGACCTAAACCAGTCTAGGGCTGTGCCAGTGACACCAACCCAGTCCTCCAGTCTCTGCATGAGGATCTCATGGTCGACAGTGTCGAACGCGGCACTAAGATCTAACATGACCAAAACTGTGACTTTACCTGCATCAGTGTGTGAAGTCGAATGTCGTTTGTTACCTTCACTAGAGCGGTCTCAGTGCTGTGGTGGGGTCTAAACCCAGACTGGAACATATCAAAAGAATTATTCATTGTTAAAAATTCAGTAAGTTGTTGGGAGGCCACTTTTTCAAGAATTTTTCCAATGAATGGCAGATTCGATATGGGGCGATAATTTTGAAGTCCCGCAGGATCCAGACTGCTCTTTTTTAGGAGAGGTCTTATGACTGCTGTTTTTAGGGCCATAGGAAATGTTCCTGACGACAGAGACATGTTTACTATTTGTGTCAGTGAAGGTAACAAACTGCTCAGGACGGACTTCAGAAATTTAGAGGGCAATATATCCAGGCTACATGTGGAGGAGCTCAGACTCATGATTATCTTTTTGACAGTTTCAGTATCCACAGGTGCAAAGTGAGTTAGCTCAAAAAGCTTCTCTGGCTGTTGCATTGTTATACGTGCTGTGGAGGTGATAGTGTTTTTGATTCCTTGTACTTTGTCATCGAAAAACTGTGCGAACTCATTACACCTAGATTTAGAGGAAAATTCTAGGGGCAACTTTACAGGGGGGTTCGTTAATCTACCAACTGTTGAAAACATAACACGAAAATTGTTACTGCAACCTCCAATAATGTCAGAAAAATACATTTCTCTTGTTCTTCGTAGAACCCGGTTAAATTCACCCAACTCATCTTTAAAGATTTCATAATCGCCCTGGAAATTGGACTTTCGCCACTTCCGTTCGGCCCTCCGGCACTCTTGCTTCTGTGCCCTGACCGAGTCTGCCTTAGTCCATGGGGCCTTTTTCTTACTGGTAACTATTTTAACCGTCACAGGGCAATGGCGTCCAGAACATTCAGAACACTGGTGGTGACAGAGTTATACAATTCATCAACAGTAGAGCATGGAGTTTTCTCAAAATTTAGCATTCCCATGAACAGTTCACCTGTGTTTTCATGTATGTGTCTTCTTCTAGCAATTGTAAATTCAGCTGGTGGTTTGCTAGCAAAACACATGTCAAAAAATACACAGAAATGATCTGACAAAGCAACATCAACTACATTAACATTTGATACATTAACCCCCTTTGTAATTAGCAGGTCAAGAGTGTGCCCCCTGCTGTGGGTGGGGCCACTCACGTGCTGAATGAAACCAAAGGTCTCAAGTACAGAAGCCAGCTCCTTTGCATTTCTGTCATCAACATTATCAACATGTACATTAAAATCACCTGTAATAACTAAACTATCAAAATCTGTGCACACGAATGAAAGTAGTTCAGTAAAATGGTCAATAAAATCGCAACATGACTGTGGTGGCCTGTACAGGACAATGAAAAGAGTAGAAGATTGCTTTTGTTCCATTTTAAAAGAAATATACTCAAACGATGAAAAATTTCCAAGGGGCATTCTATGGGAGACAAAGTGCTCTCTAAAAACTGCAGCTATGCCTCCCCCCCTTTTGTTTTCTCGTACTTCGGATTCGAATTTAAAATTGGGTGGTGTTGCTTCTATTAGAACTGCATTTCCTGTATTTTGGTCGAGCCATGTTTCAGCCATAAGCATAAAATCAAGATCATAAGAAGTGATAAAATTATTAATTAAAAATGATTTGTTACATAGAGATCTGACATTAAGCATAGCAAGTTTAAAAATAACGTCAGAGTCGATTAATGTGGTTGATTGATTTCTACAGGGAACAGAAATTAGATTTGCAGAGTTGGACCGTCTAACTGCTGTCCTGTTTTGATTTCGTTTTTTAGAATTTAAAAACATTTTTGAGCTGGTGCGAGGAACACACACAGTCTCAATTGGACTAAAATGTGAAAACCCTTGTTGTTCTTTAGCTCCCAGAGTCAGAAGGGAGTCAGCACAGTTCAGTGTTTGGACTGGTAATACACTGCCAGACGGACAGGGAGCAGTGTTTGCACCGTTGTACTCACCCGGTGCTGGTGAGCAGGAGGCGGGGGAGTGCGGTGGGGTCCGAGGGGGCTCAGATGTAAACAGTCACGCCCCCCTCGGGGAACGCTGAACAACGTAACGCATGTAGCCCATCAACAGGCTGCTACCGTATCTGTTTGGGTGTAATCCGTCTGGACGATAGGCTTCGTTACGTTTCCAGAAAAGGGCAAAGTTATTCACAAAGACAAAGTTAAAAGAGCTGCATGTAGCCTGGATCCACATATGCAGCGCCACAACACGACTGTAGAGGCAGTCACCTCTGTTTACAGTCGGGATTGGACCAGAGATAAAAACAGATAGTCCGGAGGATTGAAGGAGGTGG